TCCTCCCCCCGGGCGCCCCTCCCTCCCCCTTCGAGGCTCACCGCCAGCTCCTGCTTGCGCTTGACCAGCTCGGCCAGCTCGCGCCGAGTGTCGGGGATCTGCGGCGGGGCGCCGGCCTTGGCGCCCGCCCCGTGCAACGCCGCCATGGCCCGAGCGCCCGCGCGGAGCAGCCCCACCACGACCAGGCCGGCGGAGGAGGCGGCGGCGGGCGGGGCGGAGCGTGGCGCGGCGGTGACGGGAGGAGGAGCCGCGGCCTGGAGCGCCCTCGGCCGGCCGGACGCCCGCCCGCCTTCCTCGGAGGCCGCCGCGCCCCTCGTGCGCCTAGGACCGAGCGGGCCGCGCCAGGGCAGAAGAAGCCGCCTCAAGCAAGGCCGGGCGGGGAAACGCAGGAGGCGGCCCGGGATTGGTGCCCGGAGAGGGGAGGCGGTTCGGCTCATCTCCTCCTTCCCGGAGGAGGACCCCCCCCAATTCCACCCCCACCCGCCCAGACAAGCCCCTCCCCACCCCATCCACCTCTGTTGGGGCTGCAGGGTGTGATGAAGGCAGAGGAAAGGCGGTAGGCGAAGAAGAGACACACACAGAGGCCTCTGTATTCTCTGAACCAAAAAGCATCTATTTTTAGACAAACTGCACAAGGAATAAAAAAGGGACAAAACGAGCAAAAGGTTCTATTAACTGTAAATGGCGGCCCTGCGTATTCAGGATGGTCGACCACTTATGAGATTTTAATCATGAAACATGCATTGGAAAAATTACCGGATGCCACTGAAGCATCAAACTTTTAAAAATGTCACCCCCAAAGCAAAAATGGGGTTGTTCCTGGCCTGTTACCATGTCTGGGCATCTCCCTCTGAGGAGCCTCCGAATGTTAAGGCAGCGGGGGCACCCGGAGCCTCAGGGCTCCAATGTCCACTAGATGGATCCTAGGGGATCCAGGTTTACTCGCTATCAGCAGGACAGACCGATTCTTCCTCCTCCTCCTCTTCTGCCTTCTGATCGTCCTCTGTGGCATCGGAGGACTCGTGGAGGAGGACGTATTCCCTGCTGCTGAAGCCAAATTTTAGCACATCCTTTTCTCTCAGTTCATAATAGCGCTGAGATTCGATGCGTTGGTTATTCAGAAAGGTGCCATTGCCCGAGCCGAGGTCAATGATGTATGGTTTCACCTTCCGACCTGCTGTGCCATCAGGACGGGTGTACTCCACAAGCCTTGCAGAAAAGAGAAAAGAAACCCATGCCAGTTAAAGCCCAAAGACCCAGGAATAGTTTGTGTCATATGTACCTCTGTATTTGGATTCCTTCAGCCTCTCACATAGCTCTAGAGAGAGAGATCAAAAACACCAGATCCCTTTTGATTCCACAGCTGGAGGCCTTTGTGCCCAGATGGGAGAAGGCAGTTTATGTCCCTAGATTGAGTGGCTGCCCAACTCCCAGCAACTCGAGAGACTTGTGGAAGAAGGGATGGGGCCAAACTGTGTTAAAGATGACATTCCTCAAATAGCAGCTCCTGGTTTCCCAGCCTGGAGTCTCTTCAATATCCTGGTGGAGAAAAATCGCTGGAACTCCTAACACTAATCCTTGATGGGCCTGCCTTCCTCTCCTCTTATAAAAATAATGTTCACTTCTCCATCTCAGGAAGGGGTCTTGCACTGGATGATCTAGTTGGCCTGGCCATGGGTGAGGGATGGTTGGAATGAGGCTTAACAAAGTCAACAACCAGATTCTCCACATTGCTGCCTTTCCACTTCGTTGCTAATACTTTCTCCTCAATTCCTTTTGAAAGCCAAAGGAGTGGCCTTCTGCTGGTTCTCCTCTCCACCTATTTCTCTTCCCAAAGTCAGGCTCATGTAACCAATGAATTTTCACTTCTCAGCAGTGGTTTTTTCTTCTAAAAGCTACTCCTCTTTTTCCAGAGGTAGTCCTGAGGGTGAAATCTGGGTGCATCTTATACACTGAATACAGCTTTTGGCCTCCCAAAACCCCACCCCCTTCACAAAAATGGACGTGCATAGGTTTTGGGAGCCCTGCAAAGTGCTCCTAGGGGGTGGAAGAGGGCAAACATGAGCAAAAAATGGGCTATTTTTGCCCCCACCCCTTCCAGGAGCATTCTACAAGCCTCCCAAAACCTATGCATGTCCTGGGTTTGGGTTTTTTTTTTTTTTGCAAAAAACTGGCTCATTTTTTGCTCAAATCCCTCC